CGCCAGGGTAAGCACCCTGGCGGGCCGGGCCAGTTTATTTACCTGCTGACGTGGCAGGTTCGGCCGATCGCGGCCCGCACTGGCCGTGGTTCGCCGTCCCTGGCCAATGGGGGTGGCGAGAAGCGGCGCGGGCGAGGGATGTGCTGTCCCCATTGACCCGGGACAGCGAACCGCGGCCAATGGGGGCCACGATCGTCCGAACCTGCCACGTCAGAAGGTAAATAAATTGGCCCGGCCCGCCAGGGTGCTTACCCTGGAGAGCTGCATGCCAAACATTGCCGACCCCTGGTCTATCCTCTTATGAAATATTTAAAATGGTTCATGCAAAATGCTCTGGGTTTATAGGTCTGCATTTTCCATACTTTTATAATGAAAATAAGTCTGATATAACACTACTGTAAGTAAGCAAATCTCTGTTTAGTCCATTACATTACCTATGCTTTCCTCATTATTACACTCAGAATGTCAACATCTCTCAGCATCACAATGATGTAATTTAAATATTGCTGTTTACATTTTTATATAAATAGAGGCTTGCATTCTTTTATTTTTAGGCAGAAAAAAATCCATTTGCAAACTCTGCGGGAACTGTCTGAGGTGCAGAAAATGACCCCAAGAGAGCGAATGAGGCTGCGGAAGTTAAATGTTGCAGATGAGAAAGCAAAGAAGCTTAAGTAAGATGTATAACTAACACTGTGTTTTCACCATGCATTCCTTCACCTGTGCAATTTGCCAGGAAAGCAAGAATGAAAACAGTTGACATATAGACACTATGCAGGTTCTTCAGCTATTGGTGGGTGAATGGTGATTTTACATTAGTTAGATAAGAATAATTGCTGAAGCGGGGGGAAAAGTCAGAGCATTAGCCCAAAACTCTACTTCAGACACCGCCTGTTTTACTAAGTAAATGAGTAAGTAATTTTCGGATTCATTTATATAAAAGGTGGGTTTTTTTTAAATGAATTGTTGAGGCCACTACTCTGACGAGGCAGCCACCTGGCTTTGACTGACAGTCCAGGTTTGGAGGACACTGTCAGTCATTTTGGCTGCTGGAATTTGCATAGAGGGGCAGAAAATTAATAGTCCTAAAAGAAAATATGTTAGGTAATGGCCTTATTAAGTGAGCAGATACAATGGTGATGGGCATGGTATAAAAACTCTAAGTAGAGAGTTTTTCCTTAGACCATGATGAGTCATAAGAGAGAATCTTTGAAATACAGTGAATACTTTTCATGAGAGGAACGTGAGGAGGACCTTGAAGTGATGTTTGAATGCGAAGACTCCACTATAAAATAAGAAAGAATTTATTATGTTGCTGATCTCGATTTTTTTTACCAGTAAAAAATTTGCAACTCTTTTTATTTGAGGTGGAAAAAAAATTATAGATGCACCACCTCCTTAAATTCAAGGTTAATATCCTCTTCAAAACAGTCTCTCAAAGTTCTAGTTTATTTTGTTATTTATAAATGTACAATGGAGTGGTTAATTGTTTATGACCATTGGGATCAGCATCTTCGTCTTGTCATGCCAAAGCAAGCATGCATCTTAATTTAGTAATGACATCCGATTACAACAAAGACTACAAACAAGTAAAATAGCTGAGGTATTAAATCCCAATTTGAAAAAAATTCTGAATCAGCATTTGTTCTGCCTATTTGACATACATCAAAATTAGTGTAAGGGAGGGGTTAAAATTACAATTGGGATTGGAGATGATGATGCTGTTATATGGACAGGAATTCTCATACCAGTAGAAATTGTTCTCCCTGGAAACACAATCACTGTCTAACAGCTATTGGAATTTCACCATCTCTGCTACGACTTGTGGCTGTTGCTTAAAATCTTTGATAATATTCTTAACTATGAGAGGCCAATTTGCAAATGTATAGAAAAAATCATAAATAATAGATTACAGAAGCCACTGAGTATTTTGTAGATTGGGATTAGGAAACAGTATAGAATGGCAGTTTTTTAATTCATGTTTCAGCAGATACATTTATTTTATCTCTTTAGTAGCATAAAGAGGATAGTCATCTTCAAAACCCATTCATAATCATGAAATTAAAACACTGGCCTAGATTCAACTCTGGGATATCTGAGCATACTGTAGTACTAATGCACCAGGGAGAGAAAGTAGAGGTATTACAAAGATACAATTCCATTTCAAGTGGGCTACCTGCAGTCAGCTAGTGCAGTTCCAAAAGTGAGTGAGAAGAGAGCATAGCCATGGAGCCCAGAGGATTTGCCAAGTTAGCATATGCCTAATACAGTAACTCCTCACTTAAAGTCATCCCGGTTAACGTTGTTTTGTTGTTACGTTGCTGATCAATTAGGGAACATGCTCGTTTAAAGTTGTGCAATGCTCCCTTCTAACGTTGTTTGGCAGCCGCCTGCTTTGTCTACTGCTTGCAGGAAGAACAGCCCGTTGCAGCTTGCTGGTGGGGCTTGGAACCAGGGTGGACTGGCAGCCCCCCATCAGCTCCCCGCTCCCCTAAGTTCCCTGTGCAGCAGCTTCCTGCAGTTCAGCTGTGTCCCTCCCCCCACTGCCATGTGCTGCTCCTGCCCTCTGCCTTGGAGCTGCTCCCCGCGACTCCTCCTTGCTGTGCGGGAGGGAGGGAAGCAAGAGGGGGGCTAATGTCAGGGTGTCCTCTTCCCCCCTGCACCCCCTTACCCCATCTTCCATAGAGCAGGGGGGACATGCCAGGGCTCAGGACGGAGGGAGCTTGCAGCAGCTACGGTCTCAGCAAACGGATCTAATTAACAAGGCAGTGTATTTAAAGAGGAATGCACATATCTCCCTCCATTCCTGCTGCCTTGTAGAGTGAGAGAGTTAACCCTTGAGGGCTCAGCCAATTGCTAGTTCATCATTTAACAGTAAGAGAAATATCCCACCTTCTGACTCCTCCACCTCAGCCAAGCTTCACAATCATCATCCGGTGTATCAGTATTAAATTGTTTGTTTAAAACTTATACTGTGTGTATTTATATATATAAAATATAGTCTTTTGTATGGTGAAAAAAATTTCCCTGGAACCTAACCCCCCTATTTACATTAATTCTTATGGGGAAATTGGATTCGCTTAACATCGTTTCGCTTAAAGTCGCATTTTTCAGCAACATAACTACAACGTTAAGTGAGGAGTTACTGTACAGTCTCCTATGGGGAATATCTGGCACAATTGTCTGAATATGAAAACACTGCCTCTCTTTCCTTGGGATGAACATTTCCCTGGAGCACTTGGTGGAATCAAGGCAACAGTATTTAAGTTCTTCTGAGTTGACCAGGTTCATGTATAGAACCAACAATTTGGTACCTCATGACTCTTATACAAAGCAGGCAAGATAAATTTTATAAATTCTGTAACTAAGGACTAAACTCTCTGCTAGATGCATCCACACAAGACCCGCTGGATAAATAGAGGCCCTTTGTGCACATCTGAGCACTGGCTGATAGAATGTACTTTTCCATTTATTTATTTATGTGTAATAAGCAGTAGTACCTTGTAGAAACTCCTGCATGGTATTTGTGATACATAAAATTGAATAAATGTACTCTTTATTTATAGACAACTGGCTGAAGAAAAATATCAAGAAAACCTCAAAAGAATGCAAGAACTGAGGTCCCGTAACTTTCAGCAATTGAGTATAGATGTGCTTCATGTAAGTATGAACTCACCCTTAGGATATTTCAGACATACACTCAAACTACAGTTTCAGTTTCTCACACTTCTACAGTATTGTGGACCAAATCCTGTCCCCAGATATGTAGTTTGGGTTGTGCATAGAAATCTAGAAAACTCAGTCGAACTCGGTTCTGTATTGAGAAAAAGTTCCTTCAGTAACTCAGGTGCACTTCAACGGATGTCTTTATCAGTCCCATGGCATCATTTCCTTTTCCTAAACTAATTCTTAAAACCAAACATATGCACTGAAATTTTGGACTCTACTGCCTGCTTCTGCTTCCCCCACACTTGAAGTCATAGTTCAAAATAAATTCATTTTCAAGATAGTGTTAAGACTGTAATCTCTAAAATACCATACTTTGGTAGGGCTGCTTCCTTTTATTTAGTTAGTTAAGAAGATTACTTTGAATTTTCCATCCAGCCTTTAGTAAGAAGGAAGTCTTAGAGTGTCTCCCCATGCAAGCTTTTATTTGGCCTGAAGCTATCTGCATGAGAAAATAAGTCAGTTTAGCACCAGCTCTGCAGCTCATCACATATGCAGCAAAGATAGTTTGAAAAAGTCAATCCGCGCATCCTAGAAATTATACCTTTTTGTTTAGCATTTAATAGCTTCTCTCTGGTATGCCAATATGTTTCTGTTTCCCACTGTCTATAGTGAAATAGTGATGTTTAATCTGACTTTAAGAAATAACAATTGCTGGTGATCCGTTTTTAAAAAATGATTAAAAAGTCCTTTTTAAAAAAGTGATTGCTCATTACAAGTACCCAGCAGTTGTATAGATCAGAGTATCTGTTACACTGTGGTCATGCTGAGGTTTCTAACTGATTATATTTATTAATGCTGCTTCAAATAAGGAATCTGATGAGCAGACTTCAAAGCATCTGATTCAGTCTCAGCCAGTCACTGCACTGGACTACATATCCATAGGACATAAAGAACCAAGTGAAAATGAGACACCGGGCAGGCTCTGTATGTCTGAACCTGTGGAGCACGGTAAGAGTTTGAAACTGTATTGCAAGTTAATCCACTTTCTATTTGAAACCTCATATAAACAGGGCAAGGTTTAATTTTTTTCTCCTTTGGTTAACCTATAGCAGAGAAATTTCAGTAAAAATCGATCAGGGTTGCTAAGGAATTAAAAATCTACAAGAGAAGGAAGGATGGATTCTGAATATGGGACTGCAGTGTAGAAACATGAGGGGTTTATGTTTCTAGAGCCTAGGGGAGCTGGGAGTATCAAAAGGTGGTGAACTCCATCTCCAAGTGAGGGGCTGGGTTAAGAAGCGGACAGCTTTCATCTTCACACCTTCAGGTGACTGGTGTGGAACAGCATTATGCTCAGCAGTCATCTTCCCACCTGCAAATCAACTGTATGTGTGATGGGATTTTACACAAAAATTATATCACAGTGAGAAAAGCAGTTGAAAAACCTTTGAGCCTTGCTTGTCTGTATTGGCCTAAAATGCTTAGTCACTGTCCTGGGGTCATGAAAATCTATATAACATGTGCCTTGCTTGTGGATGAATGAGCAAAGGGAAAGCTCAGGCTTCCATACCTGGCACACATAAAATAAAGTTTTATGTAGAGTAACGTACTCTCTTTTAGTGTAATATGTCTGACAGTACACACATGTGTTCTGTTTCTTTCTAGAATGGTAGCTCACTTTGCTTCTTAATGCTTAGAAAGCAGATACTGTATTTTTCTGTGTGCCTGTTGTACTGGTGAATGGTCAAAAATCCTGGGGACCGAAGGCTTCCATTTTTTCCACAGGAGAGGCATATTATAGCCAGGACAGGGACAGTGCAAGTTTCCAACCCATATGCTTCAACCGTGATCTGTAAGGAATTGCTTCGAGGACCAAAGTAGTTCGGTCTTCATGCTTATTCAGTCATTGGCCTCTCTGCTGAGACTTCCAACTAGGGGCTAGTTGTAGTGGCGAATTTTGTGATGTGGGTGCCTCTCCACTGGGAACAGGACTGAAACAACCAAACTCCAAGTCAAACTGAAGAGATGTAATTTTGGAAGTCAGTGGGCTTTGGATCAAGCCCATAAAGTGTAAAAATAAAAAAGGGAGCATGTATATGAAGTGTTCGTGTAAATAATATATGAACTAGGGGTATATCTGAAAAGTTCAAAGATTTTAATTAAATTATAAATCATTTCTGTGATGTACTAACTTCACAAAGTCTGACACGTGTGGTTAATGAGAGTGACATATTGACTGTGAATTACAGCCTCTTAAAACAGTGTGTTTGTTAGATATCTCTATATTTATGTAATATTTATAGGTAAATGTATGCATTAAATGTATTAATATTGAAAACTATTGAGACTACTTTCCATTCGTTGCTCTTGGTTTAAATGTTAACTTTTTATTTAGTTTATTTAATTCCCTAAATTGGGAATATCAAAATTGCTTTTAAAAAATAGAAAATAGCTTTTAATTTTCAATGTAGCAGCATTTATGCCTAACATGGTTGGCTTGCTCTTTCATAGTATCAAGAGAGACACTCTGTGTGGGAGAGAACACAGCTGCTAGAAAGTATGTCCAGGGGAGAGAGACAGTTGCACATAGGAGACCAAGAAGGAGCAATGGAAATGAGGCTGTGAGTGGGAGTGTACCAGGGGAGAAGCAGATGCAGAACAGCATGTGAGCGGGGAGGAAATCTATGTCTATCTTTAGAGTTAATCCGTTTTAAATAAATCTGATGGGTACTTATGATAAGGATTGGTTGAGAGCATATGAACACTACCTAACTTCATACCCCTGTCAATCAAAAGTTTGGCCAGCTGCTGTTAATTTTCAAGTTACAATTTTCTGCTGAAATTATATTTCCACAATAAAATGTATGTTTGTATCAATATACTATAGAGCACAAAAATTAAAAAAAACTTGGAACAAGTTTATACAATGACATTTTGAGGTTCTTATGCTTTAATTGAAAGTTTATCCAGATGACTGTATGAAATACTTGTACTCCACTAGGAGAGATCATCCAATAAGAACTGGAAGATTGAGTTTAATTAGTACCTCAATTCTAAGTGGCATGGAGACTTAATCAAATTTTTGAAGTATTAGGTACATCTACTAAAAGCTGAGGGGAAAACCCAAGGCGTTGAAGTTAATTAAAATGATGAACAAGCACAGGATCATTGGTGATCACCAGTTCAAGCATGAAATGAGGCTTCAGCTTGCTAGAGAAATCCACACCGGTTAATTGCTTTCACCTTTAATACAACTTTCATGAAGGGAGCTAGTCTACCTGTGAGTGTGCCTGTCAGAATGATTTTCACTTCACTATCACCAGTATGCATATGAGGCACAGGAATTACCTGCAATTACAAAGAACTGACCAATTTATTCTTCAAGCAGTTCTCTTTTTCAGAGGATGAATGGGGTCTTGTATGGATAACTAAATGCTCACTGCAGTCTGCAATCTGGTAGCAGGTAGAGCTAGATGCAGAGAAAGCCACACTTCTTAAAATTTCTAACACATTAGTTCTCACGTCGGCTCTACATCATGCTACTGTTCAAAATCAGGTTACACACAGACAGTGAATCGTAAAATGACATAATTCTCCAGAACTGTGAAGAAATAATCAACTTCTTACACTGTCTATAGAAACAGAGGTGATGCTTGCCTTTTGGGGGCCCTGAGCAGGAATATTTTGGGGTCCCCCTTACCTTTCATCCACCCCCTAAAAATATGTTATCTCCACAGACCAAAAAAATTCTCAACACCACACATAGTTATCCGCTTGTTAAAAAGTCCATGTTAAATAAGATGAACAGCATTTGGGGGTAATGCTAAATCAGGGCCCCCTTTAGCTTCTTGGGGCCCTAAGCAATTGCTTTGGCCAGGTCTACACTAACCCCCTAATTCGAACTAAGGTACGGAACTTCAGCTACGTGAATAACGTAGCTGAAGTTCGAAGTACCTTAGTTCGAACTTACCTTGGTCCACACTCAGCAGGCAGGCTCTCCCGTCGACTCCGCGGTACTCCTCTCGCCGAGCTGGAGTACCGCAGTCGACGGCGAGCACTTCCGGGTTCAGACTAGACGCGATAAGTCGAACCCAGAAGTTCGATCGCTCGCCGCCGAACTACTGGGTAAGTGTAGCCAAGGCCTTAGTCTACTTATGCCTAGTGCCACCGCTATATAGAAGGATGCTGATGGCAATTTGAATATTATTTTTAAACAAGAGAAGATTTAAATTAGTTCTCCGACATTTCACTCCTTACTTCACCATCCAGATGAATTATGGAAATTTATTCCTTTCACATAGGGACCAGGGCTGCTGCAGAACCATCTGAGGCTCGCGGGACTGCAGCTGATTCAGAGCATGACTCCTGAACCCAAGTGTTCAGATGTCTACTGTTAAGCTAGAGTGGTTTGTGACTGCCAGGATGCTTTGACGTTCTGTAATTTTTCCCTATCTACTTCAATGGCTTTGTGCACATATTCTGTACCACCCTCTTTTACTCAACAGAGAATGCAGAACGCAGCTAAAGAGAAAAAAATATGGGCTCTAGCTTACAGAAAGCACTTTGAAAATCTTATACAAATATATTGGTTAAACTTGAGCAGACGGGAATTCAGTCTTAGCCTGATAGGCAGTAAAAGTGACAAATGAGATGAATCACAAATTATGCTGATTTTCTTTTAATGAGCCAAGTTCTTTGCTCCTGTGCAAAGGAGATAAAGGGACGAAGTTGTGTCTGTAACAAACATATCTCCCGAACTCTGATATTTACTCCCCTTTGTGCACTGGGAGGCAAAATTCGGCATTGCCAACATAGGCAAGTTTCTACCATATGGGAATACAGGCTAGAAAAGAGTCTGGCTTCTGGGAAGCAATGTTAGGCATACCGACCCCAGAACGAGAGAACCCTCACTGTGTATACTATGCAGAATTTATTTCAACTACCTGCTGGAATCTGCATCTGTGTCCCTCTCCCTTTGCAGTCTGTTTGCTGGCAGAGATGGGAAGCATTTGAAAGGTGCCTGCCATGGTGTTGTCAAGGTTCACTGGAAAGTCAAAAGGGAGTGGACAGGTCTCTCTTTTCCTGAATCATTAACCTGTAGGCTTAGGAGAGCTCACTCTGATGTAGGCATAAGAAACCCTAGTAGCTCTCAGCATTAGTAAATTAGGTGGTGTATGGACAGATGTGTTTGTATTCCATTGAGACTGCAGGTTGTAGGATTCTGCCAGTACAGCCCCAATATGTAGGTGCATTTTTGTGCCCATGCTGTAGCAGAAGATTTAGCCATTTTGACCAATTTTCTTTAAAGGTTTGCAGTGTGTAAAACATAGTGCTTACCATGGTAGGTGTTCAGTGAGAATGCCCTGCAGCCAATGGAAGTTAACAAAACTATCAGAAGAATTTTTTTTTAAAATTGCCATAAGTGTTTTTTGTCGCTAAAATTAATGCATCTTCACTCACCAGTCTGGATTAACAGGTTGTTTCCTCTTTCTACCAGGAGGCAGCAGTGTCGCAGAAGAGAGCGAAATAATTTGCTTTGGGGTATTTTCCTGAAAGAAACATTGTTATTAATCATTGATAGTTATAACAATTCAGCCAGCAGTAGCCAGGTCAATGTAGATCAGCTGCATCCTTGCCCACTCAAAAGTGTAGAATTTGCTGAATAAGTGCAAAGGATTTATGATTTATAAAACAATAATTAATGAGTTATAAAACATTTTTTTTGTTATTGAAATTGTTTCCATGTAACTTAGTTTCTTCTGAACTGATTCTTTTAGTATTGATAATGGCTTCTAAGTTCGGTGCCCCAATTAACTTGGATAATTGGAGATTATTGGAGAGAAGTATAATATAGTTCGATTTAGTATTCAGTGAGAAATGTTGATGTTCCGATCTTATTTTTCTGAAAAGTAATGAGTCATTCATCATCTGAATACTTTAAAACAGGCTAGGCAAAGCAGCTGAGAATATTTTGCATTGTCAGATAATCTCCTGGGATTTTTCCATCT